CTTCCCACACTCTTGAAATATTCTAAACAATGTTTCTAAACTCTAAATGCTCTAAAAGAGCACAGAATGTCATGGTTTCAGCTCCCTGCCTCCTCTGCTCTTTGCCACCTGCAAGTGCTCTTGGCCACGCCCACTTCTCAGCTCTGCACAGAGAACAGCTGATCAGCTGCAGCAGGAAGTTTATCCTGAGTAAGGGCTGCACAAAGGAGCAGGAGGACACTTTTTCTGCACAATTGTGCAGCAGGTGCTAAATAATTTTAAATAATTTATTTTAAATAAAAATTCCATGCCGATCGTGCGGCTCATCCATCAATCAGCCAGTTGTGTGTCATGTCCAGTCTTATTTTGAAAAACCGTCCGCAATAAATGAACAGTGAAGTAGCAAGAGACTATTGTAACTGGGTGCCAAGCCATTTAAAACTTTAAAAGTCAGTAAAAGAATCTTAAAAACGATATGAAAAGGAACAATTAGCCTGTGTAAATCGGCTAAAACAGGACTGATGTGGTCATGCTTCCTAGTTCCTGCTAAAAGATGTGCAACAGCATTCTGGACAAACTGCAGGCGATGGAGAGATGATCGTTCCAAACCGATATATAACGAGCTATATAATGAATAAGATGGCTGACATAGCCAGCTGATCTTAAAAAATGTCAGTGTCATGTTCAACAGATGCTCTGAGCACTAACTGACCTCAGAATATTCTACGAAATCAAATCTACAGTAGTTTTCGGACTATAAGGCGCGCCAGATTATAAGGCTCACTGTTGATTTTTGAGAGCATTTAATGATTTTAAGTGTGCCTTATAGTCTGAAAAATACGGTAGTGTCATTTTAAAGGTTTACAGTTTACACCATGTGTTAAATAATCATTTATAGCTTGTTCAATTTAAAAATAAACTCGCGTTTCATGTATCCAATAGATGTGAAGCCAAAACCTGACATGGCGCTTCAAAGTGGAGAGCATCGGGGACAAGAGCTCATAAATGGAAACTCTGGTAATGATCTGGAAGAGCTGGAGGAGGACGATGACTCCGACTGCAGCAGTCCTCCACTCCCCTACCTACAAGCTCCAGCACCAGATGGCTGCTGCACGCTCGATGGTATCACCTCTGTGCCTTTAGAATAACAAGATCTGACTTATTTCAGGACATTTTGTTTTGGACTTTGTATAGTTACTTTAACAAAAGATCCATAAATTGGCATAAAACAAGTAAAGTACCCTGAAAATGCTTAACCGTTGACTTATTTAGTCAAACTTCATATTTACTTCTTGTTGTGACTGAAAACATTGTAGGGTTCTGCCAAGCTGGAAAGGACCTCCGTCTGGTCACCATAGCAACAGAGCCCATTGAAGTCCCAGCAGGCTTCGAGCTGGTCGGTGCCAAGTCCCCCAGCGTCCCTGAGCACATCCTGGTGTGCGCTGTGGACCGCCGCTTTTTGCCCGACGAGAATGGGAAAAATGCACTTTTAGGTCAGTTCGATGGTGATCTCACGTTTTACTCTGCGATTCCGGTGAAACAGACGCGCTCCGTTGTCTGCACCGGGTGGTGGAGACTCTCGTGGGACAAGTTTATAAAATAACTTTGCAATTCGGTCGTTGTGGCGCTGCTTTCCAGGTTTTTCCGGAAACTGTGTGGGCTGTGGTGAGAAGGGCTTCAGATACTTCACCGAGTTTTCAAACCACATCAACCTGAAGCTGTCCACGCAGCCCAAGAAGCAGAAGCACTTAAAATACTACCTGGTGAAGAACTCGCAGGGTGCTCTGTGCAAAGGACCCCTCATCTGCTGGAAAGGTTCAGAGCAACTTTGATTTATTTACATTTATAGAGCAACAACATTTATTTTACTATAAATAATCCAGTAAATAATAAAACTAGTATCTAAATGACATAGATTACAGATATTTGTTTAGTTTTTTTTTTTTTTTTTTTTTTTGATGAAATAGCCAAAAATATTACGGTAAAAACATTTTTTGCATAACACCTCCTTTCATTAAAGGGATAGCCTGGTCATTTTTAAAGTGATGTTCTGTCTAATTGTTATCAATACCTTCTCAGCCGTGACATCAGAGGACCATTTGTTTAGTTTGTCAACACTCATTAAGTTGCAGTGTGGCATGCCACATTCCTTTCTATGCATTCTCAGACAGTAAAAGCCGTCAGCTCTCCAGCAGCGCGTCAGCCTCCAAACCGAGCTCATCGTTGTCTCTGAGCAGCAAAGAAAACGGTGGAACCAGTGGAGCCAGCTCCTCTCCCTTCTCCCTAGGTGAGACTTTATGCTTGCAGCAAAGAAGCTCTCTGTGATGAAATTCAGGTGTGCAAAATCAAGTTACAAACTTTATCTAATGTGCGTGACTAAAAGATGTAACGGCTCTAAACTTGTGTTCAGTCTCTATAGGAAGATAAAAGTGACTTTCACCAAAGCGTTGCTGCGTTTGATGCTATATGCTGACAGGTTTATGTTGTTGCCATAGGGACAGGATGTGGTGTTAAGCCGTGTGATTACTGAGGTCAGCGTGATCCGATGCTTAGATTACTACACTGCATTCATCTGTTTGAGGCTGCTCGTGAAAAAGAGAAGCTCTATAGGTCATTTCATCTGATGGCAGTGATTCTTTGAACTTTCTAATTGCAGCTTAATTATCTTTTTTTTTAAAGCAGATGTTTTTGTCTGTACATTTTTATTTGTTTGTTAAAACTATACATTGTTACGTTTAGTTGCAGTTTCCTTCATTTTACACAAGGTTTTTATGAAAACAAAGAATGCCATATTTAAAAGGCTGCACAATTTGAGAAAAACATGAAACTTAGATAATATTGTTAAATATTGCAATGTTGATGTCAGCTTTGATGAACCCACACGTCCTCATAAAAGTCTCAAAGTGTTCTGGCGTTTTGGCCACCATCGTCTGAATTAACTATGGACATTTAAAGCAGTGGAGATCAATCTGATTCCAAAATATATGATTGCCAGGCAGTTTTATTATTTTTATTTTTTTGTGGTTCATTGTAATGCTGTTCAGTGTTGATTTTGCATGCACTGATATTACGATAATGCAAATTGTTTGGTGAATTTTGATATAGAGGAGTCCCTCGTTTATCGCCGGGCATCTGTACCCTGAAGCCCCACGATAAATGAAAAACCACCAAGTAGAAATAGTAGTGCAAGTAGTAGTTTATTTTAGTGTGTATATATATATATATATATATATATATATATATATATAGAGAGAGAGAGAGAGAGAGAGAGAGAGAGAGAATATATATACCGTACATATAAAGGTGTTTTAAACCTTTCCCACACTCTTGCAATATTATGAAAAATGTTTCTAAACACTAAAAGAGCACAGAATGTTATGATTTTAGCTCCATGCTCCTCTGCTCTTTGCCACCTGCTAACGTTCTTGGCTACGCCCACTTCTCCACTTTGCATGGAGAACAGCTGATCAGCTGCAGCAGGAAGTTTATGCTGCAGCTCTGGGCTGCACAAATGTGCAGCCGATGCTAAATAATTTTAAATAATTTATTTTATATAATAATTCCGTGCCAGGGCAGCACGGTGGCCAACTGGTAGAGCTGCTGCCTCCCAGCGAGCAGGTCCTTGGTTCAAACCCCGGTCCAGGGGCCTTTCTGGGTGGAGTTTGCATGTTCTCTCCGTGCATGCGTGGGTTTTCTCCGGGTACTCCGGTTTCCTCCCACAGACCAAAAACATGCATGTTAGGCTGATTGGTAACTCTAAATTGTCCCTAGGTGTGAGTGAGAGAGTGAATGGTTGTTTGTCTCGTTTGTCTCTGTGTGGCCCTGTGATGGACTGGAGACCTGTCCAGGGTGTACCCCGCCCCTCGCACAGTGATTGCTGGACATGGGCACCAGCGACCCCCGTGACCCAAAATGGAATAAGCGGATAAAGATAATGGATGGATGGATGAATTCCGTGCCGATCGTGCAACTCATCCATCAGTCAGTCAGTTGTGTGTCATGTCCACTCTTATTTTGAAAAACCGCAATAGAGCAAGGCCGTGATAAATGAGCCGCAAAGTAGTAAGGGACTACTGTACAACATCTCTGGACCTTGAAGCCCAAATCCTATTATGAGCGAAGTCACTAATTTACTGAGACTCAGACATACACTGCCTTTCATAAAGAACTGGTTGATCTCTAATGTTTCACTACAAAAAAAAAAAAAGTTTTCCCTGCTTCAGTCAGATAAAAGCATCTGGATCTTAAATCTTGAATTTGCCTGTCGGCAGAACTCTTAAACATGAACGTGCTGAAGAGTTTAAGGGTCAGATGACTGCAGCCCTCCAGGTGCATGCCTCTCACATGGCTCACAGTTAAAATCCATAACAAGCACTTCTCCCTCTTGTCTTCTAATGGCTGTTTGTTTCACAAGAATTCATTAAAAGCATGCAGTCTGTTGTTGTGCAATAAGGCTTCTTTCAGAGGCACTTTGTTAGCTTGAAGGCCAATGACAGACACCAGATGAAGTGAGGGAACAACGAAACGTTAAAACTGCAGTCGAAGACAATAAATCAGTGGTGAAAATCAGATTAAACATTGAAGCTGCTGAGTGGTTTAATGAAACTACCGTAATTTCTGGTGTGTAAACCGCTACTTTTTTCACACGTTTTGGACACGGCTTATACATTGCCACAGCTAATTTATGTCTTTTTTTTTTTTTTACAATATTTATAGTAACAAAAATTTCATGGGCTAATGAGCTTCCTGCTGCCAAAAACATTTAGCGGTAGCAGCACTATTCTCCCCATTGATTACCAGTAGTCTGTTTGTCTTAGACTAGTTTTTATGTTCTTTCAGTAGATTGTAGGTTTACGTATTTAGTAGAGTAGCCATGAGTCAAAAAGGGTGTTATCATGAAGACCTGTGAGGATCAGCTGTTTATGTGTGTGTTCAAGCAAACTAAAGTCTATGATATGCCATCTGGTGGTTGATTCTTGTACTGCAACACGAGCTGGACACTATCAGGAGCTCTGTACAGTTTCTGAAATTAAAATGTCTACACCTGCGGCTTTTCCTCAAACGCGGCTTATTTATGTACAATATTGTGTTTGATTTTAAATTTATTGTGCACGGCTTATAGTCAGGTGCGCTCTATAGACTGGAATTTATGGTACTTTTGTTTTCACCTTTAGATTCCCCGCCCACCCGGATGGCCCGAGCCTCTTCTGTCTTTTTTGGCGGTCAGGACCTTGGAAGAGACTGCAGTTTCCTCAAACCTGTGGCCTCCACACCTGGAAACAAGACGCTGCCAATAGGTGAAGAGCTTTTTCAGCGCATCTGTCCATTTTTATAGTTCCATTAGCAAATAAGTGTTTGTCGGCTCATTGCCGTTCTGCACATGAAAGATTAAAAGACCAAATCACGCTGACTCAGTGGTTTTAGACGCTGATTCTCATCCACCTTTATGCGAGCAACACTTCAACAGCCTTGTCCTTACGCTCAAAGGGTGTTGCTTAGATACAGCTTGTCTGCTTATGCAGTGAAGCATAAGAAATCTTGGCTGACCGTGAAGCGAAGATTAACCTCTGCTCTGGCCTGTTCTTGGACACACTCACACACAGCTGTATGCGTAAACACACATTTGTGTGCGCAGCAATCGATTCTAGAGGAAAAATTATGTAAGGATTCTTTTAAGGCCTTGCTGCGCATTAGATGCTTTACAATGTTGTGGTATTGACAAGTAAAGGCTACACAAAGTGATCAATGCTGCAGCGTCTTGCACTCACAGTGGATACGAGACAGGAAAATCTCCTTTCGTAACAGACAGATATGTATAGGAAATCAATAATGCAGTGTTAGTACTGACTTATTTTGATTTATTGCTTGTCCCTTGCAGACACTTACATGCACAGAGAATATTTTCATATTTAGTTTTATTATCTTCATTTTACCAGTAGAATATAATTTGCTGGAATTGCTGATGGATGACCGTGCAGACGCATTGGTTTGCAATCGATAGACTTTAAAATTCAGCACAAAGAAGGCCGGAGAACCCGAGAACAGAGTTGTGAAGTAGTTTATTAATGCACAAGACAGTTAATAGCTCATTCTTTCCTTTTCTTTACTCACCTTTTCAGGGTCACAGGGTGCTGGTGATCATAGTGATCACTGGGGTTGCCAGTCCATCAAAGGGACACAAAGAGACAAATGAGACAGACAGCCTTTCATTTCATTTATAGAACAGTATCGAAGCAAAACATGTTCAAGTATTAAGTAAGTACAAAAGTATTAATTATACAAAAACAGGTTGAACCAACTCAATGTGTCCCCCGCGACTTTATTGTTTTCTCGGCCTGTCACGATAACAAATTTTTGCCAGGCAATTAATTGCCTCAGAAATTATTGCGATGAACGATAATATTGTTTGGAATTTGACAATAATTACTAATTATTGTCAAATTAAGAAGAAATGTTGGTTAATTTGTTTTGCTGTAGCATCTTTTTTGACCACTGGATAGCAGAACAAGACTGTTTGAACCAAAGGATGGATAGTGAGGGAGCGAGCAGTTTGTCTCTTTAAGAAAATTGGGAGAGAGGCCCCTTGACGTGACATGGGCTGTCTCTCTTCGATTCTCAATATGGCGGACGCTCAGTGTGGTTTGAGCTCTTTAGCATAGCATTTTTCACACAAAGCTTTTCATAAAAAATCAGTAAACAAGTTCTCAGAGAAAAACAACTTTTTACACGAAGGCACAGGTTTCAACCATGAATTTTGGAGCTTCAACAAGAAGGAGGTTTTTTCCCCGAGGTCGGCCTGTTAGCTTAGCTCGTAGCGTAGCTTCTCAGCTTA